TTCCAAGTTCATACTCCAACCTCATTAGGCTCCCCATTTTTGGTGGTCCCCCTGCTGTAGGAGCTGTGGGTTTTGGGATTCATTCATGTTTAGCATGAATTGAGGGTGGCACTCATTGCTCTGGAGAGCAGATGTATTTTGCAACTTCTTTTTGTAAACGTTAACATTCATGGCTAAATTTGTATGTGCTTTCAAGTGCATTATAGATAATTGGATCTCCTTAGGTAGGTTTAGGGAGTTTAGTACTCCCTTTAATGACTGTGTCTGTTGGTGGCGGGGATGGAATGGGTGGTGGTGGTGGTGCAGGGGAATAACAATAGCTAACATTAGATGACATTATTCTGCTTGCGTTATTTCTACTTGCATTATTTCTCTGTATGGACAGCCAGGGCTTAGATTTTGCTAGCTTCCTTGTATGGGTTGAGGATTGAAGCTCACATTCCCAGCTTCACTTTTGTCATTCCATTTAAGTTTCCCATGCCATCTACTCCTTTTCCAACTGAACCTTCACTCTGGTGTTGGAGAATATGTCTACTTCCTTTATTTGAGCCAGCGACTCAGAATCAGGCTTTTGGAATATAATCTATCATAAATCAGGAGCTGCATATAGATAGACATGTAGCATTAGTGCTAAGTCTGCCAATTGTTAAATAAAGGTTTAGAGCTACTAAAGTTTGGCCTTTCAACGGTGATCCTGACAGCATGTGGTACTGTATTCTACAAAATTAAATCTGAAAAGTTGCAATTGTAGGGCTTCCTAAATTGAGCACAGTCAAGTATGCCTGAGGTTTTCTAGGGCCTGGGAGGGACTTTGTTTTATGTTAAACAGCATTGGGTGGGCTGAGAGATTCATGCTACAAACTGCATTCCAGGGACAGTCCAGAGCCATGGCTGGGAATGACATCACCTCCACAGGTGCCAAATTATTCTCTTCTTTTTCCGATGTACTCTGCCCATGCCTTTTTTTTTTTTTCCTTTTAAAGAGGAAAAAAGGGGAAAAACCCAATATGTAAGTACAAATGTGAGATTTTTGTTGTGAAAATAAGTATGAAATTCAATTCTGGGTGTGTTCGTAGGGGTAGGGAGATGATAATACAATGCTTTTTGAAAACCACACAGTTCCAGAAATTCCAGTTTTAGGTTACTTGCGTTCAATCTCTCCCAAGAGATTCTTTTAGAGGAGGGGCAGGAGCAAGGGAAGGGATTTCAGACTAGATGAGAAAAGTAGCTGTAGAAAAACAAGGTTGAAATTTCTCCCCCTCTGTTCCACACCCTAACCCCCACAACTGAAGACAGGACTTACATGTTCATATTTCATAGAGACTGAAGACCTCTGATTGAAAATGTCACACTTGGATTCAGGAGATTGGATCTTTTTAATGATGAATTTACGATTATTAAGTAGTTTGTAATAGAGAAGCACAGTAATATAAAATCCAGCCTTATTTTGCCTTTGGATAAAATTGTTAATATCATGTTGTCTTTATTTTTATATCCTACATTCTTAGTTTACGGAGTAAATACTTTAGTAAACGAATATTTATATACATTTCACAACGTGGTATTCATACTCTCTTGGTTTAGATGTCTTTTTTCACTCACTTAGTGTACCATTAGTCATGCCAAATGCTCTTTTCAAAAGCAGACTTTTAGAACTCAGAGGCACTTAAAGAGATCATTAATATCCCCCTTCCCAAACACCATTTACTTTATAGATGAAAAAATTTAGTCAAGTTAAATGACTTGCTCAAAATTACTATTCCTTTCAAAACTGGAATTAGAATTAATTTTACCTATTCTGATACACTTTTCACTATAGTATTCTGCCTATTTTACTTTATTTACTGGGAGAATTTTTGAAGTGTTATTCTAGGATAAATTAGAGATTATAATCCCAGAGGGCTGAATCCATCTACTTGGGACTATGGGGGAAAAAAGAGAAAAATTGAAACTACCCATACATAGCTGTTTAGTTAATTTGGCCAAAGAGATTAGGAGAAGTTTGGAAACCATTGTGATGTGGCTGGGTTCTTGCTATTTTAGGATTGATATGAACCTAAAAGGAGAAGAGGTCAAAAGTATATATCAGCAAATTTGAAGATTTTCTTTTCTGCCATGTTAAAACCAATGTGTCTTTTAAAACCTTAGGTAGGTAGGTGTTCTTTTTGAGATGATCATTATGGTTTAGACCTACACTCACTTGTTTAACCTTGATCTAAATTCAGAAGGAACTATATATGTCAGCTGAGGTGGCTGTAGAGAGATGGGGGTGGAATTTCTGAAAAATAAGTGATGCAGAATTAGTTTTAGTTTTTCTTGGAGAAATATTTTTATAATATTTTCTACAAAAATCTTTAGAATGTTACCTTCTGTATTCTGAAAATATTTTTTCATTTTCTCTTTCTCTCTCTCTCTCTGTGTGTATATATAATTACATACATATACATATATTTACTTATTTTTTTCTTTGAGGGGAGCAAAGCTAGGGTTTGTGGAATGGAGATATTCAGTGTTGAAAATGTTAAGGAGTGGAGAATGAGGAAGAAAGGAAATAACTTAATTATAGGACCTATATGTAAGTGGGGAAAGGCAGAAAGAATGGGAAAAGTTGGGAAACAAACAGCTAAATAGCCAAATATTAGGGTGGGAACTAAATCTGCATTTCACTTGGCAAAGTTGACTATACTTTTGATTTTCTCTCAGAAGGTTTGGATTATTGAGGTGGGTGTGGAAAAGTCCACTAGAAATGATAGCTTAAGTGTGGAGAAATACGATGGAAACTGGCCTCAGTGGTTAAATACAGCAGGAAGAAGCAGAGAAAAAGAGAATTTTCTTTTTTGGCAATTACAGCTTATAATGCTGAACTTATTCTCTAGTTTTGTACTAAAAAGTTTGTTTAGTGTAATACCAAGAATCTCTTTTCTGATTCTTTTCTTTTTCTTTCGATGTTTCTTGCCTCAGAATTGGTATTGGAGCCTTCCTCAATCTCCATCCCACCCCTGATTTGACTATGAAGTAGTAGGACATAGCATATGTGACTGACTTGGAACCAGCAGTTAGCATAATGGCTATGTCGCTGAGCTCCCATGTAGTCGACCATGTTTCGAGTCCCAGACCTGGTGGCTTAAACTCACGCCGGGCCCGTGTGCGTGCGTGCCCAAGATCCTAGAGGAGAATGGAGGAGAAGGGATTTCGGTGTGGCCATCCCCCCAGGGGCTGATTTCTCACTTTCTATCTCTCTGTCTCTCTCTGTCTTTCTGGCAAGCGCATGTGCCCTATAGTAAAAACTTCTCA